GAATTGTTCCTGTTATGAGTATAAAGTGTCCTTCTCCATCTCTTCTGATTGATTGTAGTTTGAAATCAATTTTGTATTAGGATAGCCACACACACTTGTTTCTTAGGTCCATTTGATTGGAAAACCTTGTCCCAATCCTTTACTCTGAGGCAATGTTTATTCTTAGGTTAAGGTGTGTTTCTTGTAAACAGCAGAATGTTGGACACTGTTTTCGTATCCATTCTCTTAACCTGTGCCTTGTTATAGTTGAATTGAGTCCATTGATATTAAGTGATATTAATGACCAGTGGTTGTTAACTCCAGTTATTATTTTGGTGGTAGTGTTTGTGAGTTTCCCTTCTTTGAGTTGTGTTGGTGGAGGGTTGTCAGATATCTGTTCTATTGTGGGTATTGTTGGCTTCCTTGGGTTCAGGTTTTCCTTCTAGTACTTTCTGTAAGGCTAGGTTTGTGGCTATGTATTGTTTAAATCTGTTTTTCTCATGGAATATCTTGTTTTCTCCATCAATGGTGAAAGAAAGCTTTGATGGATATAGTAGTCTGGACTTGCATCCATGGTCTCTTAGTGTCTGCAGCACATCTATCCAAGACTTTCTGGCTTTCATGGTTTCCATTGAGAAGTCAGGTATAATTCTGATAGGTTTACATTTATATGTTACTTGACCTTTTTCCTTTGCAGCTCTTAATATTCTTTCTTTATTCTGTATGTTTTGTTTTTTGATTATTACATGGAGAGGGGATTTTTTTGATCCAGTCTATTTAGTGTTCTGCATGCTTCTTGTACCTTCATGGAAATATCCTTCTTTAGGTTGGGAAAATTTTCTTCTATAATTTTGTTGAATATATTTTCTGGGCCTTTGAGCTGGAATTCTCCTTCTTCTGCCCCTATTATTCTTAGCTTTTGTCTTTTCATGGTGTCCCAGATTTCCTGGATGTTTTGTGTTAAGAATTTTTTGGGTTTGCTGTTTTCTTTGATCAATGAGTTTATTTCCTCTATTGTATCTTCAGTGCCTGAGATTCTTTCTTCTGTCTCTTGTATTCTGTTGGTTTACTTGTCTCTATAGTTCCTGTTCATTTACCCAGGTTTTCCATATCCAGCCATCCTTAGTTTGTGTTTTCTTTATTACCTTCATTTCAGTCTTGAAGTCTTGAACTGTTTCATTTACCTGTTTGATTGCTTTTTCTTGGTTTTTTTTGGGTATCATTGAGGGATGTATTGATTTCTTCTAACTTTTTGTTTGTCTTCTCTTCCATTTCTTTAAGGAATTTTTCACTTCCTGGTTAAGGGTCTCCATCATTTTCATAACGTTATGTTTAAAGTCAAATTCTTCTATTACTTCTGGATTAGGATGTTCAAGTCTTCCTATTGCATGTTTGCTGGATTCTGGTGTTATCATGTTGCTTTTCAGGATGTTGGAGGAATTCTTGCATTGGCACCCACCCATCTCTTCCTTCAAATGAGGCCAGCAGAGTCTTGGCATCTTGGTCCAATTTTTGCTATGGCTGACTGTGTACTTGGGAGTTTTTCTTGGTCTGCCTTCTCTTCGGTCCCCTCAGCACTGGAGCAGGCTCTCAGATCCCCTCTGCCCTGAAGCCGGCCTTGGTGGGGGATCCAAGGATCCTGCAGATGAGAAGGAGTACTTGGGGTCAAGGTGGAATGGGGTAAAGAAAGCCAGCAACAGAGAACACACCCCACTGGATGGCCAGAAAAGCTTAGGGAATTGGAGAGGGCCTGGACTCAGTTCCCCAGGACCATCAGACTGCGTGGCCACTCACTCACCTCTCTGGATCCACTTAGCATAGGAGCAGGTCCTCTTGCTGGGGAGAAATGAGTTTTTTATAAAGAAATTGGTTTAAATGATAAATCTACCAAGACTAACACATGTACAAAGAGATGGGTAAAACTCCAAAATGAGGGCAAATTGAAATACCAAGATAAGGAGTGCAGATGTGAGGAAAACAGGACTTCTGTATCCTGTCCTTTGTTGTCGGGGGTTTCTGTCCTGCCCAGTTCCCACAGTTGTTAAGTCCCAAAGAAATCACACAGAGGTCTACATTAGTTATAAACTGATTGGTTCATTAGCTCAGGCTTCTTATTAACTCTTATAACTTATATTAGCCCATTATTCTTGTCTATTTTAGCCACATGGCTCAGTACCTTATTTGGCGCGGCAGTCACATCTTGCTTCTTCTGTGGCTGGGTCACGACTGCAGACTAGGACTTCCTTCTTCCCAGAATTCTCCTGTTCTCATTGACCGACCTCTATTTCCTGTCTGGTTATCTCACCTATACTTCCTGCCTGGCTATTGGCCAATCAGTGTTTATTAAAATATAATTGACAGAATACAGACCATTGTCCCATACCACTACCCTCCCAAAGCTTAGGAGTCATTGTGAAAGAGGGGCGGGCAGTGGAAGAGACAAGCAGGGGATGAATAAAAGGCAACAGTATCCTCTAGCCTAGGTAACAACAGGGCCAGTGTACCTCTGAACTCAAAGAGACTGTGACAGCACACACAAGCCCAGTGCAAACTGAAGCCAGACCAGACCTCAGCATGGGAAGGGCAGGCAGACATGGAGTCCCACCCAGAGGTGAGGGGCTGAGCTACTAGGAGAAGAATCAGTTACCTTTAAGAATGTAGCCTCTGGTAAGTCAACCGTGCTCCAGCTAAAGACCACACCTCTAAGAAAATACAGGCAGCACAAATTGGACTTGATAGGTGGAGAACAAAGGGGGGGGGCAAAGTTGGGAGGGTAGAAAAGGGGAAGAGGCTGAATATGATCAAAATACATTATAGGAAATTCTAACTTTCTTGAAAGAAAACCAGGAAAAACAATAACAGTTTTATGTTCCTAAATTTCTCAGTGTTAAGAACTAAAGCAATTGGGTGCCCAAAGCAGGTAGTTTTCTGTGAAATTAAATTCATGCTGATCTACACAGAAAGTTCCAGACCAACTAGCCAGGCTAGGGTTATGCAGTAAAACACTGTTGCAAAAAAAAAAAAAACCAAAAGATAGCAAACATCATCAGAACAAGCCACCACCCATACAACCTGAAGCAATCCCTGTGAAAACTCCAAGGTTAGATTTTTCCACCAGAAATTTCTATCAAACATTTGTAGCTTCTCACAATGTAGTCTGGAAGAGGAAATATCACTTCCTGATGAGTTCATGACACTAGTTTTCCCCATGATAACAATCTAAATAGAGACAGTAACAAATACAAGTAAATGGAAATTTGTTGCATATAGAAAGAAGTACGAGCTGTGGTTACAAAAGGTTTATGTGTAGTGTGTAACATACCTCAACTTTTGCAAAACAATTGTGATGGCTATTTTTGGTTGTCAACTTAACTCTATCTGTAATAAACTAAAACCCAAATATCTGGGTATACCTGAGAGATTTTTTTCTTAATTAAATCATTGGAAGTGGGACAATCCATTTTTAATCTGGCTGTTTTGAGGAGGAAAGATCCACCTTTATCTGGACCGCAACTTCTGCTGGCAGCCTGTACAAAGGACATGGTAGATGGAAACTAACTGTCTTCACCTGCTTGCTCTAACTCTCCCTGGCAAGTCCATTTCTTCATTGGACTTCAAGTCCAGTAGAGCCTGATTCTTCAGGATTCTGCTATATTCTGAAGACCAGTTGAGATGCCCAGTCTTGTGGACTGATCAACTACTGGGTTCTTGAACCTTCCATTGGGAAACAGCCACTGTAGATGCTCTGTGTTTATGCAGGTTTTTAGAAACATTTTTAGGTTGAAAAATTGGTGTTTTAATATATCCTACATTAAATCAGACAATCCATAAAGGGGAACATAGAGCTATTCATTTAGGTCTTTAATTCCCACCAACAATATGTCATTTTCAGTATTGAGATCTTACATATTGTGTTAAATTTATTTCTAATTATTTTGTAGTGTTGAAACTGTTGTAGATGGAATATTTTTAGAGTTTTAATTCTTAATATAAAAGAAGCACAATTGTCTGGGCTGTGGTGGTGCATTCTTTAATCCCAGCACTTGGGAGGCAGAGGCAGGTGGATCTCTGTGAGTTCAAGACTAGCGTGGTCTGTTTTCTTATAGCAAGATTTTGTCAAATTTAGGAGCTTTCTTTTATGGCTAATTTCCTGAGAGTTTTTTTCTTCATCAGGAATGGCTGTTGAATTTTTCTAAATGCGGTCCACTGTGAAGGATCACATTGTGTATAGCAGAATGAATGCTATATTTAAATGCTAAGGAATTATTGAATTCCTGTGAAATCTGGATTGAATTTGACAATGACTGTGTTGAAGATTATGGAGAAAATAAGTTTTAAACGGTTGCAATAGGGCTCAAGTATAGCATTAGATCTAAATTCACACCACTGATACAATTTGATCTGGGCCTTCACAGGCATCAGTGACTACCCTTTCAGACAGCAAGATGTTCTAAGACACATTTCTGGTGAATTCTGATCAACGTTTAGAGTGAGAAGGTTTCAGGTATAATAAGATGAATAGTTACATGTATTCCCCATCACCTTTCAATTCACATAAGTTATAATTAGAATAATTGGCATTACTAATAAATTCCTATCAAACATGAATTAAAGCATACAATAATAAAATATTTTGATACATTTATTTTATGCTTGAAAATCAGTATTAACTTTTAAAATAAATTTTGTTCTTTGTATTGTTGAGATTTAGCTGTTAAGTTATCTTGTATTTTTTTAAATTATGAGGATTATATAATATAATAATGTATCAAAATATCACTTCATAAGCAAAGAACATATGAATTTATGTAGCCTGTAAAACATAAAAGCCGTAAATAGATGCTAATTGAAATAGTCATATTTACATGTTCTTCTGTTCTTATTATAAGGGACTTTTATGTACAAGTTTATTTCTTTTTAGCACTCAGCATATAATCTGTTTGAGATGTTGTGTAATGATTTCTCCTGTTTAATCTTTGCAAATGATAACAGATCACCAGTATGGCCCTTGGTTTTTACAGATCAATAAGCAGAAAGAAGACATGGAATTAAGAAGAAAGTACGCCAGTATAAGCGCCAAGGTTGTATAGACTCTACCATCATCTATCTATCTATCTCGGCTACTATGCTCTCTCTCTACATTCAAGAATTCATGCTCTCCGTTGCTTCCTCATAAATGAGGTTTTTTTTTTTTTTTAAGTGCTTGATATCAAGAGTAGACAGTGCTCTTGCAGGTGAGTCTGGTTCCTAGCATACAACCTCAACAGAAACTCCAGTCCCAGGGGATCCAGCATATTCTTCTGAACTCTGAGGACATCAGCATTCATGTGCACACAAACACTCACAAGGAATTAAAATAAGTCTTTTAAGAAGACTCATTTGGAATTGAAACAAGATGAGCATGTGGAGATAGAAAATAAGGAAAGTAGGGAGAGGAGGAAGAAAGAGAAGCAGCAAGCCATCCCTCAGAGGCTGCTGCAAACCCCAGTGCACACATTCCTCCTTCACCCTTCCTTTCTTCTTCCTTTCCCTTTTCCCTCCTTGACACAAACCTCAGATTACCACCTCGCCAGCTTCACAAGGACTGTATCTTCACAGGTGCTGCCGAGGAACGGAGGAATGTCTGTCTGTTTTTATATTTTTTCCTAGAACAATGGGTGAAGGGGCATTCAGTCCCAGCTGCTAATGAAGGCAGGCAAGAGTGGGCTGTGAATCTAGGAGCAAAGGCAGATTCACACCCACCGAGAGTGAAATTGCCTGCCCGCTCTGAGGTTCTCGCTCGGGGAGGACAGATAGAGGGTACAAATCTAAGGGGTGAAATAAAAATAATTCTTGCCTCTTTTCGAGCAGAGAACAACCAGGGGAAGAGAATCTGCTTTCAGACGGTCTACGAGTCATCAATCCAAGAACGTGACATCAGCAACCGAAAGCCATCATTTTATAAGGCCGCCTTCTGCTTCCCTCAGCGTATCACCTAGGCTAAAGAAGAAGATGGGAAAGAGATATCTTGGCGCTGCTGTCATGCCTACTCCTGTTCGTGCTGAAACTCATGCTCCTGCTGCAGCGCCCGCTCCTGGGGTTCCTGTCACATTGGTCACCACTCCTACTGTCATTACCAATTTCCTCGCAAAGTCCCAGATGGATAAGCATGTAAGAACCATGTACATTACCACTATCTGCTCACTTCACGTGCTTCATGTGTGCAGGGTTCCTGTCTTGTTAGCCTTTTCCGGCTGCAGCCTCATGCCTCCCACCTCCCACTTCCTGTCTGGCATCATCCAGGCCCACTGTCTAACACACTGGACTCTCATATAGGAGTAAGGGCTCTGGCAGCTAACCAGGGTTAGCTTGATAGGCCCCTTAGCTTTCTTAAAATGATTCTTCCATTACCCATAGCTGGCTGCATTGTGTAGGTTAGTTAGTGAGCCTTAGTGACTCTATTGAATCATTAAAATCTGAGAAGCTGCATTCCAAGTACTTGTTAAGGTGCATATCTCTAACTCCTTATGGTGTGGTAGGATATTAATGATGTCTTTCTGAAGGACATGGAAGGATCTTATCCTTTTGGTCACACAAGAGTCTGCACTGGGCAGTAATATTACATAACACAATTAGGAACAGCTACACGTGAGTTGTACGCTGCCGCTCTCTTTAGCCATGTGAACAGTCAGTTCTCTGAAGTTCAGCTGACTGTTGGCTTGTGACAGTTATGGCGGCCCCATTCCCTAGGCTTGGGTTCTAGTGCACACAAAGGAGAAAGCTAGCTGAGTACAAGACAACTCTCCCTTTGCCTCGTGACTCTGAGTCTAGCATGACCAGATGATGCCACGTCTTGCTGCTTTGACTTCACCGTGCCAGGCCAGACCCTATAACTAAGAGCCAGAGAGAAGCCCTTTCTCCCCTAAGTTTCTTTTATGAGGGTATTTAACAATAGCAACAAGTAGTGAAGGGGCATGGCTTATTTGGGGGTATTCCCAAAGATTGCCCTTTGTGATGATCCTGGGAAAATTTTCTTTGTGCTTAGCTGTGGGGATAGAGATGGTTGTTGGCGCACACAGTCGGTAAGCACCATGAACTTTGTAACTAGATCAGATTCTTTTCTGGTCTGACTTTCAGAGAGCTCTTAGATCCAACTGGTGACTCATTGGACCAATGGGTAGCCCTTGACACTTGGATGTTTAGATCTCCTGTGTTCTGCCAAGTCCCATGTCCTTCCTCCTCTCCAGGTGACAGAATCTGCTTATCCATAGGACATGGAAGAACAGAGTAGAATTATATGGTTGTGTGTACTTTGCTTCAAAACAGGAACAGGAAAGGATACTGGCCTCTTAAGCCATTTAATCAGAGAAGTAGATCACTCCCTTCTCCAGTGACGGAGTGAGACATGGGGAAACTCGGAGTTGCTCTAGTAAAGAGTCAGTCCACTTGGAAGAAAGCATCGAGAAGTGAGAAAAATCATCCTCAGATGGTATAGTGGCATTTGCCTGTGTGATCCCAGCAATCAGGAGGCAGAGGCAGAAGGATCACTATGAAGTTGAGGCCAACCCGGGCTACAGTAGTGAGTCTACGGCCAGCAAGGGCTACCCTGCCAGCCCAAAAAGAAAACCAAGAGACAAAAAGGAGGAGAGAAAGGAAGGAAGAAAAAGTATGGGAGGAGACATAAATGTTTCCACTGTAAAAATTAGGAAATGAAGTCAGGCGGAGGGCTATATAAATCTCTAAGGAGAGACTTTGCATGTGACAGGCAAGTGACTTAGTTCTAGAAGCAACTGCTTCATAATCCAGATATTGAGAAGTACGTTCTTTAGTTCCCACCAAATAAAAGCTGATTGAAGGGCTGGGAAGATGGCTCGCTGGCTAAGATCGCTTGTTGTGCAAGTGTTGAGGACTCGTGTTAGAGTGCCTAGCACTCGTGGTAAAACTCAGGCATAACTACTTATGCCCGTACCACCCCTTGACATTCCCAGTTGAGACAAGCCAGCCAGCCAGCCTAGCCAAGCAAGGTTTCTTGCTCAGTGAAGGACACCATTTTAAGGAAATAAGGCAGAGTAGAGTAGACATCTGAGGCCCTTCTCTGGACTCTGACTGCTTGGAAAGGTACTCCCATGTCTGTCTGTCTGTCTGTTCCCCTCCCTCCACAACTCTCTCTCTCTCTCTCTCTCTCTCTCTCTCTCTCTCTCTCTCTCTCTCTCTCACACACACACACACACACACACACACACAAAGAAAAACTAGAACTAAAACCTGGTCTGAGTGGTTAGTGTCTCCTGTGGCAGGAGCAGGGAGACCAGCCGTCTACCCTACGTGGTCATGATAGAAGAACAAGGACTCCTTGCCAGAGGATCATGAGGGCAATACTCTGTCACCTAGTTTTTCAAAATTTAAAAAAAAAATTGTATGAATGTCTGCAGATGTAGCTCAGTGGTAGAGCACTTGCCTACTGTGTCTGGACCCACAGGGTCCATCGCCAGCACTCACAAAAGATCTTCACTGAAGGCTCAAGTCGTAGAGCCAGATTTTCAGGGGTACACCTCTGTGTTGTGGGGAGAGAAGAGGCACTGCTCTATTGGACAGTGCAGGGAGGAAGCACTGGGATTCTGAGGGGTAGGCTCAAGCTGCCGCTATGCCTCCCTGCTTTTTGAAGTTTTTGCCTGGCACGGAGGGATGACCTTGTGGTTTCACAAGATTACTGACTTGTAAGCTTTACTTTTTGAATGCTCCTCCCCCTTGAAAAGTAGATTTTGAACCATCTTTAGGTAAATTCTCGAGACTTTTTTTATAGAATGGACTTAAGCAGATTATTATTTAAAAGATTTATGGCCGTTTAGCTGAATTCAAGGTGCCCTAGTTCAAGCCTTAGGCTTCCTTAGTGAGCTGGTACCAGGTCCGGAAGGTGTCAGTGGACAGTGAAGTGGGTACCTTTCAGGAGTGTCTGGGATCTTAGGTCCTAGATACCGGCTAGAGGGGAGCAGAGCTGTGTCAAGCCAGGCCCTGCAGCTGAGCTCCCATCCTGAGGTCCCAGCAGCAGGGGGCAGCTGCACTAGCGACCTCCCTGCCCCCTTCATGACCCCAAGGCTGGAACTGAATCCTGGATCTGTGACTCAGAAACTCCTGTGCCCTTAATATAGATAAATGCTGAGCTTTCAACATTAAGAGGGTCACAGGAGCCCTCCTCCCCCCCCCCCCCCGCACACATTGCCCTTCCCACCGAGAAGACACAAAAAGAGAGAGCAGAAAGCCGACTTAGGGTCTCTGAGAAGTATAATTTCAGTTGGCTTTTCTCCTGGTATCACACTCTCTTCTGATCAGAGTGATTGTTATCTAGAGGTTTCCAGAGCTTCATGGAACATTCTGTCAAACGGTGAGACTCTCAAGTTAATGTTTAACATTAAGTACAAATCGGACAAGGAGGGGCCTATGGGCCTAAGCTGGTCCCCTCGCTGACACAGTAATTGATTCAATTTTTAAATACATTTTCTGGTTCACAGTTGCTGCTGCCACCTATGCTGGCAGTCCCATGGTCACCTTCCCCTGTGATTCTTCTTTCAGCGTGCACTAACTCCGTCTGTGCCACAGTGCTTAAGATTACCTTTAAATGTCTAACTCAAAGGATTGCTGGACCTCTTTGAACGACCTTTAAAGGGCTTTCTAATATCTCCTACATGCAAATGACCACATGGAAATCTCGCTGCAGGAACTTTACATCAGTCATTTCACTTCCTAATTAATCATACTTATTTTTGAAATCTGTGTCATTTGGTGGGAACGGTGCATATGCTGCCTGGGGGAGGCACACAGTGATAAAGGCAGTGTTTAGCCAGTCTGAAAAACCATGACACACGCATTGCCTTCAGATATCAGTTTATAAACGATTTCACAACATAAAATTTGTATTTGTACAGGGTACTTATGTAAAGTTTATCTTTTGATAGCTGTAAAACAGTTCAAATACTCGGGTTTTATGTACCAAGGTTAAACTGGATTCCCAGGTTTCCCTTCCACCTCACCCCATCCCAAGTAATTAGTTAATTAAGGTCACACCCAGCAAACGCTTCTCTGGAAGACTTCTGAGCCTCCTTTGGAGGAACCTGGTCTATGTTGACAGGCCGTATGACATGTGCTTTGGACTACTCAGGGCTCTTCTGTGTGGGAAATAGGACAAAGGACAAGGCCAATCTTGTTCTTGTCACAATACAAAGCAATTCTTGTAGGCAAAAAAAAAAAAGAAAGAAAGAAACCTCCAAAAAACAAAGGAACAAAAATTATAAAATAACAATGACTAGTAAAGTATTTTTGCAATAATCTGCAGTCGTGACTATAATCATCCTGCAAGCTAGTAATTTTTAAAATATGACTACAATACCAAATTATTATTATCTTCACCATTCAATTCTTTTGTTTGGCAAAATTACACATGACGTTGAAAACATAGTGCACAGGGGAAGGAAGCATTGTTTCACTCTCCTGTTCGTCTCCCCTCTGCTGAGTCCGGCAGATCAGAGCGCAGACAGAAGCCAGCACTTTGCTGGTTCTGAGCTGGGAATGCCAGGGAAACTGAGTCAGACAGAGAGGGAGATCCTGACTGTGACCTGTGTGGTCTTTGGGGACTGTCAATGGCTATTAACTATATTTTGATAATTATGTTGATGCAAAATAATTTCAGTGATGCTGAATTTATTATGGTGTGAGTGTGTGCATACATGAGTGTGTAATTGGTGTGTTTGTGCATATGTGCATGTGTATTGCTGTGTGTTTATGCATGTGTGTATGTGCATGTGTGTGCTGTGTGTGTATAGGTACTCTGTGTATTTACGTGTGTCTGTTGCAATGCTTATGTGGACATCAGAGAACAACTTAAGGAAATTGGTTCTGACCTTCTGCCTTGTGAGGTAAGGCCTTCCTGAGCTGCACACCCGAGCCTAGATGGCTCAGGGGTTTCCAGGAAGTGCTCCTCTCTCAATCTCCCTCTTGTTGTTTTAGCAGTGCTGAGGTTACAGATGTGCACTTCCACATCTGGTTCAAGGTTTTGAATTCAGGTTGTTAGTCTTGTGCAGAAGGTACATTTACCCAGTGAGCCATCTCTCTGCCTTTAATTTTGCTTCTTTGTTTCTTTAAGATTAAAGACTTTGCCGTGTGGAAAGGATCACAATCACACAGTACAATGATTTGCTGAGCTTTAGAAACAAAATTCTCACATACCACTAAAACAAATTCCCCTTTAGTTTCTGCTCTAGGAGACCCAAACTGACACTCTGAGCAATCGCCTATTTAAAATTAAAGCGAGCTAAGCATGCTGATGCCTGCTTACACTCCTAGCGTCCTGGAGACTGGGACAGGAGACCTGTGAGTTGAAGCAAGCCTGGGCTACATAGCGAGACTCCCTCATAAGCAAATCCAGTAATCAGTTAATAAACTAAATAAAATTTAACCTCAAAGTAGTTTTTTATCTTCCATATAATTTTATCTTGGGTACTTCAATGATGAATTAAATATGTATTTTCAATATACTTGGAACTAAAAATTGCTAATGAAAATAGCATTTAGTATTTCCTGAACAAATGAAAAATATTTAAAAGTTATGTGAAGAAATTTATACTGTTTTTAAAAGGTTTTACATTTACTTATCTGGGGTGGACCATGTACAGCCAAGGCCCACGTGGGAGAATTAGTGTCTGTCTTACACCCTGTGAGTCCTGGGCCATGAGTTGTCTGTCGGACTCAGTGGTTTAGTGCCCTCACCTACAGATCCATCTTCCTGCTAGGATCATGTAGCTCACTTGCTTAGTTGAAAAAAAGAATGTAAACTGTTGTTTGATGAACACAGTATTTCCCTCTAAACTAAAAACTGGAGATTTGCCATCTTTCTAAGAGTGAGAAATAGACAAGATGGAGATGCAGGTAATCCCTACCCTCCCCGTGCGTTCTCAGCAGTGGGGCAGGCAGGCGCTATGTCCTAACCTCAGGTGGAGTAGCATCCTTAGCGGCTTGGTCCCCAGAGCAAACATTTTACCCTCACTATGCAAAGCGGTTTTGTTCCCCACACTTGGGCTTCAACCCTTGCTTTCTCACCAGCAAGTTAACACACCAGAGCCTCTGCAAGAGACTGGGCGCCTGCGAGGCACACGCTCTTTCCCACATACCACGCTGTTGCTCATGGGCACCGCCGTTATTGCTGAGACCAAAGCTGCTGTTCGGTATTGCCCGCCGTGCCAGGGTGGCATCCAAGCTTGCAAGGACCCCACCAGAGGCGCGCACTGGTTGCGGGCTGTGTTGGCTCCCACTTCGATCCTGCTCTAACAGCCTTGCCTTTCTTCAGCTCTACTGCTCCAGGCTTCCGTTTTCTCCTCAAATCCCAAGATTTGGTCTAGAGAGTTAAGATGCATCTTTTTTCTCTCTCTCTCTCTCTCTCTCTTTAGGAATTAAACTTTTCTCGTTTGTTTTCCTCTCCTTAATGTAACTGTTTATTCATCAGCAAAACCGGTCTTGTCAGGCAAATGCCCAGTGTAATTCCAACATTCTAGAGGCTGAGGCAAGAGGGTGACCAGCTGTGTGGCCACTTTGTACTAGGTAACATCATCTCTAAACAAAACAGTTTTTAAAGGAGAAAGGAAACAAATTTTGAAAGGGAAGCTGTTTATTCCTCCATTATTACATTTTATTTTCAACTTTCATTCCCAAACAACTTCAGGTAGCCAGTAATATTCACTAAACTGATTTAATGCTGGACAAATCCAGACTTTATTAGTTTTGTTAGCCTATGCAGCTTTACTAGGGACTAGAGGCCGGCTTGCTGTTGTTGAGGCAGGGTCTCACCATGTAGTCGAGGCTAGTATTGACCTCACAATCCTCCTGCCTTGGTCTCCTGGGTACTAAGATTGCAGATGCGTGCCATAGCAAAAATGAGCATTTTATCTAAGCTTCTTTAAAAAAATATTTTTAAAATGAGGGCTGGAGAGGTACCTCAGCAGTTAAGAATGTTTGTTCCTCCTGCAGAGGGTCTGAGTTAGAGCAGGGCTAGGTTCCCAGAACCCACATCACAGATAAGTGTAACTGCAGTTCCAGAAGAACCTGTGCACATACATGCACACACAAACACACAGACATGGAAAGGGGGGGGGGATAAAAGATAAATATCTTTAAAATTTTTTTCAAGTGCTTACAACCCTACTAATATCATACCATATCCCATACATAAGTGCGTATAACTTTCCAGTCATTGAATGAACCGGAGCCACATGTTTCTATGCATGTGTATGTGCATATATTGTATACATATGTGTGTATACAATGTTACACACAAACATAGAATATAAATATATAATAATATATAATTATACATTAATATATAACATACACGTACATACATGCTATATATCACTATATATTAATGAATATAGTTATAATATAGTAATGATATATATGGTTATATTATAAATTATAGGATATATAATACATATCATATGCATGTATATGTATACCTCAGTCATATGACTCCGTCACAGCAGCAACTACCAGGAATGTTGTAAGCTCCAATAAGTCCAATGTCTGAACATATGCACTAAACATTTTCAGAATCATGAAGCATGGACCTGAACAACTTAGAATGTAATTCTGGTGATCTGTTTCTCTAAGTGAGACTATGTAAGTCCCAATTAAATATACAAAATTTCTATATCTGGTTACATTAAACAGATCGTATGCATGTTTAAAGATAATTATTAAAACTAGATTACAATACATTTAATGTTAAAATTAGATTTTAATTCACTTAGGTCATACACGTGCATTAAAAAGGCTAGGAGAAGAGTTAAAAAAGCAACAAAAAGATTTCTGAGGAACGCAGCCTCTAAGGAAGAGTCACTGCAGCAGAAATGCCAGGAACTCTCTCAATAAACAGCTTAGCCTTCAGCTTAGAGAGAACGCTGCCCAGAGTATTTCAGCAGCTACCAAGAAACTCGGCCCACATGTCTTACTCCAAAGGCCTCTGGGTGTTTGTTTCCAGTTTTCCATCAAAGGCTTAATGTATTTTAGAGATCTGAATATGACAGACTACAAAAAGACAAAGATGTTGTCATTTTAACACTTATTTTTATGTGTATGGGTCACACATGCCATAGCATGTATGTGACCACCAAAGGCAGCTTTCAAGACTCAGTTCTCTTCTTCCATGCTATGGATTCTGGAAATCAATCTCGATCCATTGCTTCGTGGCTAGCACCCCTACCTGCTAAGCTATCTCTCTGGCCCTTATATTTTAATATAAATAATTTCATGTAAAATTTTATATACTTGATTTTAATAAGATTTCCATTTGATGTCAATATTTACACCATTTTTGCAGGTTTCGGTTCCTTGTGTAGATCTATGATCAGATTCTCTCTTTTGGACAGTTGATAATAAATTCTCAGTTTGTGTTTGTGTTTAGAAGAAATCTTTATTTTAGCTTATTTTCTGAGTCTAGAAAACCAGATCGAAAGTTTTATTCTCTTTTAATGTTCTGAAGAGATGAAACCATTGCCTTTGGCCTACAGCTTCTGAGGGGAACTGAAAGACTTCCTTGGGCTGCAGTGTAGCTCAGTGGTAGAATGTGCAAGGCCCTGGGTTCCATACACAGCACCCCAAGCCCCCCAGAATTTCCCCTTTATTTTGCTTTTTAACAGAGATTGCTTGGGGGGGGGGGCAGTGTTTGTTGTTCAACCCTGTCTATTTTGATATTTATATTTATCTTTATGCAGTTTCTTGGGTTTGTGATTTGATATTTGTTGTAGATGCAGTCCAACAATAACAAAATTGTTACTCAACACACAAGTACAGGTTCATTTGACCCCCTGAACTACTCCAGAACCCTGGAAGGCTCTGCCCATGAATAGTGAAATTGTACATATGCTTCTGACCCTCTTCCTTTGCCTGACCCATGGCTACACCTGGAACAATACTGGTGTGCAAAGATAGTTGTTTGTTAGAAGATAGAAATAACGTTCATATAAAAGTCAGCCAATCATTCAGTAAAGGTTTAGACAGAAAAGAACTCATTTCTTCCAGAATGCTTTGGCCTCCTTTCCTCTGCTGGGATAGAATGCCATTTGTTGAAAATGCTTTCTTTTTTCTATTGTATAATTTTGGCTTCTTTTTCAAAAATCAGGCGTCCATAGATGTGTGGATTAACATTGGTGTCATCAACTGGATTCCATTGATGCACCTGTCTGCTTTTATGCCATCACTATGTGGCTTTCATTACTGTATAAATGCTTGAAATCAGGGGTGGTGATGCCTCCAGAGGTTCTTTTATTGTACAGGATTGTTTTTTAGCTATCCTGTGTTGTTTGTTTTTTCATGTGAAGTTGAGCATTGTTCTTTTAAGGTTTGTGAAGAATTCTTTGGGGATTTTAATAGGGATAATATTCTACTGTTTCTGTTATTGTTGAAATCCATGGTGATCTGTTAAGATACAGGGGGTTATATCTATTTTTTGTACCTGTTGAGCTTTGTGGCTGAATATATTGTCAATTTTAGAGACGGTTCCATGTGGTACAAATAATGTATATTCTTTTATGTTTGGGTGAAACTTTCTGTAGATATCTGTTAGGACCATTTGAGTCATAACATCTGTTAGTTCCACTATTTCTCTGTTTAGTTTCTGTCTAGATGACCTGTCCATTAGTGAGAGTGCAGTGTTGAAGTCTCCCACTATTAACATGTGGGGTTCAATATATGGTTTAAACTTTAGTAATGTTTCTTTCGCAAATGTGCGCCATTAGATTTGTAGCATAGATGTTCAGAATTGAGATCATCTTGGTAGATTTTTCCTTTGATGAATGTGAAATGGCCTTCTCCAACTCTTTTTATTAATTTGTTTGGAAGTCCATTTTCTTAGATATTGGGATAACTATTCTAGTTTGCTCCTTAGGTCCATTTGATTGGAAAACCTTTTTTTACTCTGAGGTAATGTCTATCTTTGATGTTGAGGTGTGTTTCTTGTATGTAGTAGAATGATGTATCTTGTTTTTGTATCCATTCCATTAGCCTGTGCCTTTTTATTGGTGAATTGAGTGCATTGATAATAAGAGATATTAATGACCAATGATTGTCAAATCCTATTATTTTGTTGGTGGTGATAGTATGAATGTATGTGTGTGTGTGCATGTGCACATATGTGTATGTATTTGTATGTTTCTCTTCTTTGGACTTTGCTGGTGTGTGATTATTTATTGTCTGTGATTTTGTGTATGTAGTCAACTTCCTCGGGTTGGAGGTTTCCTTCTAGTACCTTCTGTAGGGTTGTGTTTTTGGATAAATATTGTTTAAATTTGACTTTGTCATGAAATATCTTGTTTTCTCTATCTATGGTGATTGACACTCTTGCTGAGTATAGTAGTCTGTGCTAGCATCTGTGGTCCCTTAAAGTCTGCAGCACATCTATACAGGACTTTCTGACTTTTAGAGTCTCTGTTGAAAAGTCAGGCATAATTCTAATAGGTCTGTCTTTGTATGTTACTTGGCCTTTTCCCCTTGAAGCTTTTAATATTCTTTCTTTGTTCTGTATGTTTAATGTTTTACTTATAATGTGGTGAGAGAATTTTATTTTCTGGCCTAATCTATTTGGTGTTCTATCAGCTTCTTATACCTTTGTAGGCAAGTCCTTCTTTAGGTTGGAAAAATTTTATTCTATGATTTTGCTAAGTATATTCTTTAAGTTATTGAGCTGGTTTCATCATTTTCTATTCCTATTATTCTTCTGTTTGGTCTTTTCACAGAGTCCCAGATTTTCTAGATGTTTTGTGTTAGGAAATTTTTAGATTTAACATTTTATTTGACTGATAAATCTTTTCCTTTATCCTGTCTTCAATATCTGAGATTCTTTCTTCCATCTCTTGTATTCTGTTAGTGATGCTTGCATTTGTAGTTCTTGTTTGCTTACTCAGAATTTCCATTTCCAGGATTCCCTCCCTTTGTATTTTCTTTATTGTTTCTATTCCCATTTTAAGGTCTTGAACAGTTTCCTTCATCTATTTTTTCTTGGCTTTCTTTTAGGGATTTATTGCTATCCAATTTTTTCTTTGTCTTTTCCTCAATATTTGACAGATTATTTCATATCTTCTTTAAGAACATCTATCATCTTCATAAAGTCATTTTAAGTCCATTTTCTTCTGCTTTAGCTGTGTTGGATTGTTCAGGTCTTGTTTTTGTAGGACAA